CGGCGTAGCCCGGGGGACATCCAGCAAGTGCATGGGTTTTTCAATGTTTTGCCCACTCCCCAAAAATACATCTGTTTGGGTTTTTCACCCCCCCCTTTCCTTTTCCTATTAACCTAATGCGCTTCTCCCGTTTATCAGGATGGAGAGAGGAGGTACAGAGAAGCCAGCGCTAGGAAAAAAATTCGGCTGGACCGGTGAGTGGAAAAAGCACGTGGGGTGAGGGGATGGAGAAGGGAGGAGAGCGGGAAGTAGGCTCAGCACTGGGGTGCAGACACAGTCTGTGGGTGGTTCGTCCCCCGCCATAAGGGAAATTGTTCCTTTCTGGCAGGAAATATGTCGTCTCCTGCAAACAAACGGAGGTGCCGCTCTCTGTGCCCTGGGACCAAAGCAACAAGGTAGGATGCTCCCAAGGTAGGAGCTGCCTCCTGTCCCCCTCGACCCCCCTTCCCTTCCTGCCCCTGACGTGCCACCCCTGCCCCAGGTTTATCTGAGCTACAACAACGTCTCTGCCCTGAAGACGCTCGTCGCCAAAGCGAACTGGGCGCTCGCCAGAGAAAAGGAAAAGGTACTAAACCCTGGCCTGTCCCCACCCCGAGATGCTTCTTGCCCCCAAAGCGTGGGCACCCTGGGGGCTCGGTGGCGGTGAGCGTGTCCCAGCCTGTCCCCTGTGCTCCCCGAGGTGCGGATGTACACGCTGGAGGAGGACAAGTTCCTCTCCTTCCGCATCGAGATGTCGGTCCACATCGCCGCCAGCCAAGCCTTCTCCCTGCTCTCCGACCTGCGGCGCCGGCACGAGTGGGACAGCCACTACGCGTGAGTCCTCCCGGGGGGCACCCGGCCCCTGCCAGACCCCACATCCTTAAACCCCTTTGGCCTTCCCTGGGAGCACGTGTGTTGCCCCGGAGCCATGATTGCTCCTAAAGACCTTTCACCATGCATCCCCAGCCTGGCTCCACCTGGGTTGATGGCTACACTTTGCTGCAGAAAACACCTGTTTTGGGTGCCCTGAAATATTTTGGGTATGGTGGTGGGCTTTAAATATGGAAGCCACCGGACTTGGAGGCCACAGTGGGGTTTCTCTGACTGGTCCCCTCCCGCTTCGCAGGAGGGCTGAGCTCGTCCAGCAAGTAGACGAAGATGACATGATCTACCACGTGGTGAGCCAGACCCTCAGCTGTGAGAACAAGCCCCAGGACTTTGTCATCCTGGCGTCCCGACGGAAGCCCTGCAGCAAGGGGTAACCATCCCTGTCCCTGTCCCTGACCCCCTGCTCCTCACCGGCCGGGCTGCACCAGCTCACTGGGCTCTCTCCTCTCCAGGGACCCCTACGTGGTGGCCTTTCGGTCGGTGACACTGCCCACCCATCCCGCCAGCACCAGCTTCACACGTGGGGAGACGCTCTGCTCCGGTTTCTGCATTTGGCCGGAGTCGGAGGAGATGAGCAAGGTGGGATGCTGTGGCCATGTCACCTGCACCCCATCGGGGGAGCTGCCCCATCCCCACACGCCCCTACTAACCATCTCCCCTGCCTCGCAGGTGGCTTACTACAACCAGGCTACGCCGGGGTACCTCAACTACGTCACCACCAACGTGGTGGGGCTGTCCTCCAACTTCTGCGCCACCTTCGAAGCCTGCGAGAAGTTCCTGTTGAAGAACAAGGAGGACCTGATCATACGGTTGTAGGACCTCTAGAGCCATAGCACCCCTGCTGACAGACGGACGGACAGACAGATGAGGGGGCGCCTCGGTGGCAGACGGGGACATGGGATGGTGGTGCTCAGACCCTGTGTCCTGGGGGCTTTGGCCCAAGTGAAGTCCCAGGAGCTGGGGTGGAGGGACATCACCGTATCGCCTCACCCTTTGCACTGACGTGTCGTGTCTTTTCTTCTTCCTTTTTTATTTAGAAATTTTATAAGCTGATGTACAGGACTTGGTTTTCTAGTTCACTTAACGCTACTTGAATCTTTATATGATCCAAGGTCTTCCTGAAACAGATTTTTTTTTTTTTTTCTACTATTTCTTTATGGGGGAAAATGGTTCCCTCCGAGGCAGCAGAGAGGGAGAGGGGGGCAGTGATGTGGGGAGAGTGCTGTACCCCTCCCTGGGGCAGGGGTGGCCAGTGAAGCACCCCGTTCCCCCCCACAGCTGCCCCTCTTCCTGGGCTGCTCCCACCGGGCTGACATCCCACCCCACGGGGCTGTGGAAGGAGTGGCAATAAAAATGCATTAAAAGGAAAAAATATATCTCTATGCCCTTTAGGTGAGTGTCTGCTCCGGGGGGCTGCTGTGCCTGGATGGTGAGTGTGGGGTGGGGGGTCCCTCATTCCCATCCACCGGGTGCACCGACACCGTGAGCCGTAAACCCCCAACTGCCTGAGGAGCACTGGAAAAGGGGGCAAAAAAGACAAATCCAAACCTTGTTTCCCAAAGGCTGAGTAAGGCTGTGGAGGACACAGAAAGTCAGTGTGAAACCCAGAGTCTCAGAGGGTTGGATATTGGCCCCTAATTGCCCTTGCACTAATGACCTGAGTGCCTCCAGGTGTGTTCCCCCTCCCCATCGCAGCTGCTTTGAGAGGTGTTTCACAGATGTCTGCCCCAGCACAGGATGGGGTCAGGACCATTGCAAAGACCTCGCTGACATCCTGCTTCTCCCTGAGAAACCCCAGCAAAGCCACCCAAACGCAGCACAGGTGCCCGGTGGAAGCACTGCTCATCAGTCACCCCCCTGGGGACATCTGTCCTCGGCCACAGGCCAGCTGAGAGCCCCCTCCCAGGCTGTCCTGGCTCATGTGGCCAGAGGTTTTGGGGTGGCACTGAGATTTCTGAAGGGCTTGTTGCCTGCCGGGAAGGGAACGAGCCCCGGGAGCCCACGGGCACACAGAGCTGTGGGCACAGCAGGTTTAATGTGTGGTAGCCATGCCCTCCATGCCCTCGCCTTTGCCAGCAGAGCCCCCGTGTGCTTAACCTTTTTTGCAGAGCTTAACCATGAGCAAGTGATGGTGACGCCAGATGAGACCCTGGAGTACCAGAAATGAGCACAAAGTCTCACAAAGGGTGTTCTCTCCCTCTCTGCAACACCCAGTCCCTAGAAAAGGACTTTGCCACCCAACCCCCCCAGCTGGTTTATAAGCAGAAGGAGCCACTTGCCCCTCTCCCATTGTTGCCAGCCACCCCCGGAGCCGGCCACAAGCTCCTCATCTCTGTCCTATCTCCAGAGAGAGGTGGTGGGGAAAATCACAGTCCTACAGCATCTTAGAATCACAGAATGGGTTGGGTTGGAAGGGACCTTAAAGACCATTGAGTTCCAACCCCCTGCCCTGGGCAGGGACACCTCCCACCAGACCAGGTTGCTCAAAGCCCCATGCAGCCTGGCCTTGAACACCTCCAGGGATGGGGCAGCCACAGCTTCTCTGGGCAACCTGTTCCAGTGTCTCACCACCTTCACTGTAAAGAATTTCTTTCTAGTATCTAATCTAAATCTCCCCTCTTCCAATTTAAAACCGTTCCCCTTTGTCCTGTCACTACACTCCCTGACAGAGTCCCTCCCCAGCTCTCCTGTAGCTCCCTTCAGATATTGGAAGGCTGCTATGAGGTCTCCCTGGAGCCTTCTCTTCTCCAGGCTGACCAACCCCAACTCTCTCAGCCTGTCCTCACAGGAGAGGTCCTCCAGCCCTCTGATCATCTTCGTGGGCCTCCTCTGGACCCGATCCAACAGGGTTCCAATCTTCTGCTGGAGGGAACCATGGGGCAGTGAGGGGTGGGAACACCCCTGGAGCTCCATCTCCAACCACCTCGTCCCACAGCCTGTCCAAGGGAGGAAGGACCCGCTGGTGGGTGCCTTGGAGCCTGATGGGAGCAGCCTTCTCTTCCCAGCCTTTCCCAGATTCCCTTTCCCTATTTGCCCTCCCCACCAAACGCATCGCTCTAGGGCCACTTTAGCCATCAATCGCTATTTTTCTTTTTCCATTAAAAAATAAAAAGAAGGAGAAATCACCGCAGGGTGTTACCCCCTGCTCTGAAAAACCCTCCTGGCTGCCAATTCCTGCAGGAAGGCAAACGATATGGAATGGCAGATCTTGGAGCCCAGGAGCAGGGGTGGGGGTCTCCGTGCTGACTGCCCGCAGCCCCCACCGCTGCCTTCCTGCACAGGGTGACGCGGGGAACAAAGCCCCACCAAAGGACCATGGCCACCAGGCCATGCCATCGTGCAGTGGACAGGGCAGGTGGAGGATGGAGCGGAGAAGCATCCCAGAAATGCCAGGAAGCTTCTGGCAAAGAAAAGGCTGTGGAGATTTCTGGGGATCTACAAGCATTCCAGGTGGGATCCAAGTGCCTGATGTGAAGGTCTCTTGAGTACCATCATGAGAAGGTTTCAAGGACCTGATTGTACAGACGCCTAAATAAATACATTGGAATGGATATACAAAACCACAGTGTATATTTACCTATTATGCAGGGGGTGTGGGATGTAATTAGACGGCAGAGTCTCTCTCAAGGCTCTCCCTGCTGTAACTCATGCCCTGAGGCGGTTGGCCGAGAGGAGGAGGAATAAAGCAGGCAGCAGAATTGATGGACTGCTCCCAGAAGCTTTGTTTTAATTAATTTCCAAAGCTCTCCTCGTAGTGGAGCAGGCAGCTCCTTCAAAGCCTCCTTCTCCCCACCACTGCCCCTGCCCTCATGTTTGTTCCAGCGTGGGGTCTGTGGCAGCGGGGTGACTCCAGGAGCCAGCCCGGCTTCTTCGAGCCCCAGGCTTTTTGGTTAAAGAGTGCAGAAACCATTGCTGTTTTTAGACAGGGCCTCTTTGAGGGCCGCAGCGTGGGCAGGCGCATGGGTCAGGGCTTTTCCTTCTTCCCTTTTTATTGACTTTCTGCTTGTTCCTGCTGCCAGGGGTCAGCCGGGGCTTTGGCTGGACTTTGCCGAAAGTCCACCCAAAAGGGCCGGTTACTGGGTGGTGACGCAGTGCCCTGCCCCTAAGATATAAGGGGTCCCAGGACTGGGTTTGCAGCCCCGGTGGGTGCGTGGTGGTGGGGCTGGGAAAGGGCTGCACCAGCTCCAAAGCTCTTCCCGAATCAGCAGGTTCGTGACTCTAAACTGCCTTTGCCACATCCAGCGAGGTGACAGCGGTAACAGCAGCTCAGCGCTGAGTTTTGGGGTGGCTTGGTGGACATGGAGGGACCCGTCTCCAGCCAGGACACCATGCCGACCAACACAGAGCCCTCCAACACCATCAAACTGCTGCACCTGGTTTTCCTCTCCACCAGCTGGGGAATGCAGGTCTGGGTCACCTTCGTGGCAGGTAGGTTGCCTTCCACGCACACCACCGTGGCTCCCTGCCCAGGGGAAGGATCAGGGGAGGGGGCTTTGCCTCTCTCTGGGGAGAACTTAAAGCCCCTTCCAGTACCTAAAGGGGGCTACAGGAGAGATGGGGAAGGACTCTTTATCAGGGAGTTTAGTGATAGGACGAGGGGGAATGGCTTCAAACTAGAAGGGAGATTTAGATCAGATATTGGGAAGAAATTCTTTCCTGTGAGGGTGGTGAGGCACTGGAACAGATTGCCCAGAGAAGCTGTGGCTGCCCCATCCCTGGAGGGGTTCAAGGCCAGGTTGGATGGGGCCTTGAGCAACCTGGTCTGGTGGGAGGTGTCCCTGCCCACAGCAGGAACTCAATGATCTTTAAGGTCCTTTCCAACGCCAACCATTCTATGGGTCTGTGATTCTCCCTCCTTGCAGGGTTCGTGATGGGCAGCCGCCTCCCCCGCCACACTTTCGGCTTCATCCAGGGCGAGCTCTTCCCCTACTACTTCCACATCGGCTCCGCTTGTGCCTTCCTCAACCTGACTCTCTTTGCCATGTGCCACCCCAGCGAGCTGCTCACCGAGGAACAAACCACCCAGGTAGCCTCCTGCTGTACAACGTGAGCTGGCCCTAACCCAAATCCCTTCCTCGGTGGGGTCCCCCTCCACTCTGCTCCACTGAGGTCGGTTTGCCAACTGGTGACGAGGTCCACACATGGCTCTGGTTAAGAGAAACCAGTTAGCATGCAGATTGCAGGGAGGGGCTGGGGGAGGAATTTAATCCACCACACATGTGAGATGTTGACGGGCAGCTGTTGCCTCCCCTGCAGATCATCATCTTCTTTGTTTGCGTCGCTGCTTCTGTGCTGAACACCCAGTGGTTCGGCCCGGTCACCTCCGACATCATGGTAGACCTGCACCTCGTGGAGCGCAGCCACGGTCTGGGCCAGGAGGTTGGGCTGGTGGCCACCAAGTCCCGCAGGGAGCTGCGTGCCACCAACCCCAGCTACAGGCAGCTGTCCCAGCAGTTCACCCTCTACCATGCTCTGTCCTCCCTCTGCAACCTCTGCTGCGTCGCCTGCAACGGCCTGAGCTTGTACTACTTGGCCTCCCGACTCTCTGCCCTGTGAGAGCCAGGGCTCCAGGAAAAGGGAGCCATCCTGCTGCCTGTGAAAGTCACCCTGAGCTCCGGAGATTACATCTCAGCATCCTCAGATGGAGACACTTTTAACTGTATTTGTGGAGAAAGTTAGGAATAGCGAAATGGGAACTCTTTCTTTCCAGCTGTCTGAATCCAGAGTGTGAAAATCCTGCACGGTCTGAGCAGAAGGGTTTATGGCTGAAGAGCTTTTCAACGCCCCATGCACTAGATGTGTCTAAAACTGCACTGTGTTTCTGCAGTCACAGAGATTGCAGAAGAAATAGGAGATTTAGAATTACTTTTAATTAAATGCTGCAAGTGCAGAAGACCCTATACATCGGCTTCACCAGTTTGTGTAACGGATGAGGTTGTTACGTTTGGGTTTAGAATCGCTGTTTGGCATCCTCTTGTAGTATTTCACTAGAGGAGAGTTATTGTCTTGTTTATAAGGCAGAAAGCAGTCTACTTAAAATAGACACGTTTATTTCCAGGTTCCATGGGACAATCAGTAAGGTAGCAAAAGGGTGGGTAAAACACAGCACTCCCCAGGAAGAGCCCTGAGCTCTCAAGCAGCAGAGCTGGGTGGTGAGAAACCATCAGCTGCTCAAGTGGCAGGCAGGAACCTGATGGCATCCATCCTGCTGGAGGTACGGGCATCCTCTTGTAGTATTTCACTAGAGGAGAGTTATTGTCTTGTTTATAAGGCAGAAAGCAGTCTACTTAAAATAGACACGTTTATTTCCAGGTTCCATGGGACAATCAGTAAGGTAGCAAAAGGGTGGGTAAAACACAGCACTCCCCAGGAAGAGCCCTGAGCTCTCAAGCAGCAGAGCTGGGTGGTGAGAAACCATCAGCTGCTCAAGTGGCAGGCAGGAACCCAACAGCATCCATCCCGCTGCAGGTACAGCCCCAGAGCACTGCCCTTAAACCCCAGAAACTACAGCCCTCCTCCAAGGAAACCGGCCATTTTCCACAGGTAGGTAAGTGCTTTCCCAGCTGCTGCTTCAGCTGCAGCCAGCCTTTGGCACAGCTTCAGGTTGATTTCCAAACCACAGGCAGCCTATGGCAGGGGAGACCTTCTGCAAACCAGCTGGGTTTCTTTTTAAACAAACAATCCCCTCTTGTAAGCCCTTCGCTCTCCCGTGTGCTGCTTCCCTGGAAGTTTCCCTGCGTGCCAAGATTACGCTTCCCCCCTGAAGCGTGCAAGGTGTTTTTGTTGAGGGAGAAGCTCGTGGTCTGCAGCTGGGGTAACAAACACCAGCCTCTCACACAGGATCCCCCACAGTTTCGTTCCCGCTCGTTACAGTCGATGCACCTTCTTGCCAGAGAAGTACTTCTTGGAGAAAGGAGAACGCTTTACAAACGCCAAAACTGTTGGAGTCCCGGCCTTTACAAAATACCTGCAAAGATTAAAGGGAGTCCTTTGGCTTCCTTGTAGCTGGCCAAGCCTCGTCCAAAGCGAGTGGATTCTGCCCAGCTCAGTAAAGACCAACCTCCCCGAGGCCAGTGACGAGCTTTTTTGCTGATTAGCAGAGCCTTTCGTAGCCGGGACAACACACATCTGAGGAGGAGCATTTTATGAATCAACTCCTCTCCCAACAGCTACTTCTGACTAAAACAGCTGTTATTCTCCCTCTGGAAGGAGGTCTCTTTTGTGACGAACTGCCCTTACAGCCCAAAACCTGAGGGTTTTTATGCAGGCTGCTGAGTTTTACAGTGACAGGTCAGACACAGCCTGCACCAGTGGACCTAGAGCTCTGCTCCCACCGGGAGCTTTCGTAGCCGGGACAACACACATCTGAGGAGGAGCATTTTATGAATCAACTCCTCTCCCAACAGCTACTTCTGACTAAAACAGCTGTTATTCTCCCGCTGGAAGGAGGTCTCTTTTGCAACAAACTGCCCTCACAGCCCAAAACCTGAGGGTTTTTACGCAGGCTGCTGAGTTTTACGGAGTGACAGGTCAGACACAGCCTGGACCAGTGGACCTAGAGCTCTACTCCCACTGGGACAGCCCTGGCCACCAGCACTCCACAGCAGGCCTTCTCCAGCAGCTACAAGACGGTGCAAATCAACAGCACGGGCTTTACAGTGATTTTTTGGCTTCACAAACAGCAAATTCTCCTCTCCCAGTAACTGCACAACACTTTCAAGTCAGTTTCGGAGTGAAACTGCACTGCATGCTGTGCTGGGGGCTGCTCACGCAGCATCATGAACAGTGACAGCATTGTTAACCTTCAACATGCTCTCTTTATGTGCTGCTGCTGGTTTTTTCCTCTTTTTTTTTTTTTTTAAAGTAGCTCTGTGGGGATGGGATCTGAAACAGCCCTTTTGTGCTGCTGCTTGTGTGCAGCCCAACTCCACCCAGTCCTGGAAAGAGTCAATTATTACTTTTTTTAAGGAAAACAACATGTAAGTCACTAGAATCAGGCACAAAATCCATGCAGTCTCACTGCTTTACACCTTCAAGAGTTCGGACTATTAAATCAGAGAAGAGTTAGGACAATTAAAGTCTGAGAGTTAGGACTATTAAATCAGAGAGAACACCACATTTAAAGCCCAAAGCTCATACTTTCTGCCTTGGTGCTCTCTCTGGACACAAAAAGGTACGGCCTCACCTTTGGTGCTGCAGCACTTGTAGCAACGTGTGTTCTGGGTTCAGCTTGTACATTTCTGCTCTTTCTTCATCTTCAAAATAGAGCTTAAAAAAATTTGGGAAGGTTATTAAACACTTAAAATACATGAAGGCAAACTACTAAGCTGTTAAAAGTCTACTATATATCAACTAGAAGTTAATCAAACTTTTGTAGACGGAACCAACTGTGTTGATGACAACTTCAGAAACAGTTTTGTGTAAATTCCAAGTCTTCCCCGTATAAACCAGTTCACCTTCTTACGGCAGTGGCAGCAGGAAGGCAAAATACACTGGCTGTTCCTGTGCTTTATTACAGAGAAGCAACCCAAATTGATGGGCTGCTTTTTAACAGGTGAAATGCAGCAACGGCATGAGCTAAACTGAGCAGGTTTAGAGATATTGAACAAAACAAAGTAGATTTAAGAGATTCAAATGCAGCAGCTGTGCCTCAGACTGTACACAGAGCCACAATCCCAGTGTTTAACCTGGAAAAGTACACAGCCACTGTCCTTTTGGACCTGCCTGCTCACTGCACTAAGGGCTGCGCTGTTGCCTGGCACACGTGACACCGAAGTGGAAAATGAAACATAAAACAGCTGTATCTTTCTATGTACAATTTCTGAAAAATCTTCCAAACCTGCCGTAGCCACAACCAACTCCCATCTCGCACGTGCTAAAGTCTCATTAGACAGACACTGTCTTGATGGGATTAAGTATTTAAGCACCACCAGTTAGAGCTGAAAATAACCTTTTCTTTTTAAAAAAGTATTTACTCATTTGTATTGAGCAACGTCCCAACAATGCAGTTAAAAAACCAGCAGCCTACCAGCTTGATGGCCCAAATCTTAATGGAAATGTAAGCAATATCTACAAACACCTCCTATCAAATGCAACGTACGTGGAAGACAAAAGAACCTCCATTTCAATTAATGAATTCTGTGTCCATGTCAGCACATCTGGAAAACGTTTGAGTTAATAAACGAACACAGCTCTCCAAATCCTTGTTTCACATCTGTGTATGGTAAACAGGTTATGCTTTCATACACTCAAAGCTGCTCAAGCTCACTCCAGGAAAAACAACAATAACAACAACAACAAAAAAAAAAACGAGAAATGGGAGATTTAGCATTACTTTTAATTAAATGCTGCAAGTGCAGAAGACCCTATACATCGGCTTCACCAGTTTGTGTAACGGATGAGGTTGTTACGTTTGGGTTTAGAATCGCTGTTTGGCATCCTCTTGTAGTATTTCACTAGAGGAGAGTTATTGTCTTGTTTATAAGGCAGAAAGCAGTCTACTTAAAATAGACACGTTTATTTCCAGGTTCCATGGGACAATCAGTAAGGTAGCAAAAGGGTGGGTAAAACACAGCACTCCCCAGGAAGAGCCCTGAGCTCTCAAGCAGCAGAGCTGGGTGGTGAGAAACCATCAGCTGCTCAAGTGGCAGGCAGGAACCTGATGGCATCCATCCTGCTGGAGGTACGGCCCCAGAGCACTGCCCTTAAACCCCAGAAACTACAGCCCTCCTCCAAGGAAACCGGCCATTTTCCACAGGTAGGTAAGTGCTTTCCCAGCTGCTGCTTCAGCTGCAGCCAGCCTTTGGCACAGCTTCAGGTTGATTTCCAAACCACAGGCAGCCTATGGCAGGGGAGACCTTCTGCAAACCAGCTGGGTTTCTTTTTAAACAAACAATCCCCTCTTGTAAGCCCTTCGCTCTCCCGTGTGCTGCTTCCCTGGAAGTTTCCCTGCGTGCCAAGATTACGCTTCCCCCCTGAAGCGTGCAAGGTGTTTTTGTTGAGGGAGAAGCTCGTGGTCTGCAGCTGGGGTAACAAACACCAGCCTCTCACACAGGATCCCCCACAGTTTCGTTCCCGCTCGTTACAGTCGATGCACCTTCTTGCCAGAGAAGTACTTCTTGGAGAAAGGAGAACGCTTTACAAACGCCAAAACTGTTGGAGTCCCGGCCTTTACAAAATACCTGCAAAGATTAAAGGGAGTCCTTTGGCTTCCTTGTAGCTGGCCAAGCCTCGTCCAAAGCGAGTGGATTCTGCCCAGCTCAGTAAAGACCAACCTCCCCGAGGCCAGTGACGAGCTTTTTTGCTGATTAGCAGAGCCTTTCGTAGCCGGGACAACACACATCTGAGGAGGAGCATTTTATGAATCAACTCCTCTCCCAACAGCTACTTCTGACTAAAACAGCTGTTATTCTCCCGCTGGAAGGAGGTCTCTTTTGCAACAAACTGCCCTCACAGCCCAAAACCTGAGGGTTTTTACGCAGGCTGCTGAGTTTTACGGAGTGACAGGTCAGACACAGCCTGGACCAGTGGACCTAGAGCTCTACTCCCACTGGGACAGCCCTGGCCACCAGCACTCCACAGCAGGCCTTCTCCAGCAGCTACAAGACGGTGCAAATCAACAGCACGGGCTTTACAGTGATTTTTTGGCTTCACAAACAGCAAATTCTCCTCTCCCAGTAACTGCACAACACTTTCAAGTCAGTTTCGGAGTGAAACTGCACTGCATGCTGTGCTGGGGGCTGCTCACGCAGCATCATGAACAGTGACAGCATTGTTAACCTTCAACATGCTCTCTTTATGTGCTGCTGCTGGTTTTTTCCTCTTTTTTTTTTTTTTTTTTTAAAGTAGCTCTGTGGGGATGGGATCTGAAACAGCCCTTTTGTGCTGCTGCTTGTGTGCAGCCCAACTCCACCCAGTCCTGGAAAGAGTCAATTATTATTTTTTTTAAGGAAAACAATATGTAAGTCACTAGAATCAGGCACAAAATCCATGCAGTCTCACTGCTTTACACCTTCAAGAGTTCGGACTATTACATCAGAGAAGAGTTAGGACAATTAAAGTCTGAGAGTTAGGACTATTAAATCAGAGAGAACACCACATTTAAAGCCCAAAGCTCATACTTTCTGCCTTGGTGCTCTCTCTGGACACGAAAAGGTACGGCCTCACCTTTGGTGCTGCAGCACTTGTAGCAACGTGTGTTCTGGGTTCAGCTTGTACATTTCTGCTCTTTCTTCATCTTCAAAATAGAGCTTAAAAAAATTTGGGAAGGTTATTAAACACTTAAAATACATGAAGGCAAACTACTAAGCTGTTAAAAGTCTACTATATATCAACTAGAAGTTAATCAAACTTTTGTAGACGGAATCGACTGTGTTGATGACAACTTCAGAAACAGTTTTGTGTAAATTCCAAGTCTTCCCCGTATAAACCAGTTCACCTTCTTACGGCAGTGGCAGCAGGAAGGCAAAATACACTGGCTGTTCCTGTGCTTTATTACAGAGAAGCAACCCAAATTGATGGGCTGCTTTTTAACAGGTGAAATGCAGCAACGGCATGAGCTAAACTGAGCAGGTTTAGAGATATTGAACAAAACAAAGTAGATTTAAGAGATTCAAATGCAGCAGCTGTGCCTCAGACTGTACACAGAGCCACAATCCCAGTGTTTAACCTGGAAAAGTACACAGCCACTGTCCTTTTGGACCTGCCTGCTCACTGCACTAAGGGCTGCGCTGTTGCCTGGCACACGTGACACCGAAGTGGAAAATGAAACATAAAACAGCTGTATCTTTCTATGTACAATTTCTGAAAAATCTTCCAAACCTGCCGTAGCCACAACCAACTCCCATCTCGCACGTGCTAAAGTCTCATTAGACAGACACTGTCTTGATGGGATTAAGTATTTAAGCACCACCAGTTAGAGCTGAAAATAACCTTTTCTTTTTAAAAAAGTATTTTCTCATTTGTATTGAGCAACGTCCCAACAATGCAGTTAAAAAACCAGCAGCCTACCAGCTTGATGGCCCAAATCTTAATGGAAATGTAAGCAATATCTACAAACACCTCCTATCAAATGCAACGTACGTGGAAGACAAAAGAACCTCCATTTCAATTAATGAATTCTGTGTCCATGTCAGCACATCTGGAAAACGTTTGAGTTAATAAACGAACACAGCTCTCCAAATCCTTGTTTCACATCTGTGTATGGTAAACAGGTTATGCTTTCATACACTCAAAGCTGCTCAAGCTCACTCCAGGAAAAACAACAATAACAACAACAACAAAAAAAAAAACGAAACCAAAACATAACAACCCTGAAATAGAAGGAAAGTCAAACTTCTTACCTCAATATTGCTGGGAAGGTATTTTTGTTCTAAATCCCAGGGAGGTAACTCAGCAAACATCACCATTAAATGATCAATAAACCTAAAAGCCAAAACACACTTGGCTGGCTTAGATGAAACGTTCAGCTTCAGTAATTTGCACAGTTGCATTTGATTGATGGTAAAAATACATTAGCAAATTAGACAATAGACTTGAAAGTACGTTTAGATCACTAATAATTCCTTCCCTTCAAACTCTTTGCTCCCCCAATGAGACCAAGGCCCTGTTGTAACTCATGCTATTGGTTTCAAACTTGAGCTGTGCAACAACAAATTATTTTTAACTTTTCACTTTCACACCAAAGAATATGTCAAAATAAACACCCTCCATTTTATCTAAAATTGATTTTCCTTCTACAAGGTCCCACCAGCACCACGCTTCATTGGATCAGAGTGCTCAGAATATGCTTGTGTGTCAGAGGCTGATTTATTTTCGTACTTCAAGAGTGATGGTGGCCAATGTGTTCCAAGAACCCATTTCCATTTCTTTTGGTCATGAAAAGGTGTAGTGAATGCTACCGTATAAGAACCACAACTTTACTAATCTGCTTGCACTGTAATTTTAAGTCCTAAACTTATTAGTGCATCTGAGGAATAGGTATCTCACAAAAAAAAAATAAAAAATTACAAATTCCAAGTTTGTTTAACTTTGCAAGATTGGAAACTGAAGGTACCTTCAAGAGAAACAGAATTCCCACCTTGACAGTCACTTGCTTATAGTGTGAAAGGTCTGCAGCACTTCAGCCAGGCCTGCTGTAAGCCCTCATGAAAACTATGGGATCGCCGATGGTTAAAAGAGGTCTCTTTTGGAAATTTTTAAATAATTTTTAAGTTTAATCCTCTTTCCGAGACCCTGTATTTGGAGAGCTTTAAAACAGCACCTTAATGAACCTCTAAAATCCATGCACGAGAATGTGTCACTGGTGTTACTGGCCACTGGTCCAAGCCTTCACTGCAAGTCCCTTTAATCACACTGGCTAAATATGACACGTTTGTCTGTACTATAATTTCTGTAATGTTGAGATTTTGGCCCTTGTATTTTAAAGCATAAATCACAGACTAATTCAGGTTGGAAAGGACCTCAGGACGTCACTTAGTGCAACCTCCTGCCCAAGAGTAGGGTCAGGTAGGAGGTTAGAAATCTGGAATTATTTCATGACCACGGCAGCTTTTCACTTGCTGCCTGTTCTCATCTACTCAAGCACCTCTGTTGTGCAAGAATGCTGCTGATGGTGCATTTACCTGGAGTTCTCGTGAAAAGCTGCAATGAAGTCTGTTTGCTCATGCTCGGGGTACAGGAAGAGGACAGGCCAGTGCAGGTTGCCATCAGCATCTAGGTGCACTTTTGCCCCCGTGGCGTTGTCAGAGTGGAACCCGTCTATGGATAACTCAGCCAGGCCGTCTGATATTTCCTCTTCTTCATTTGAAGGCTCAAGAACCAGCTTGATATTTCTTTCCTTGAGGGGAGGAAGGAAAATAATCAAAAAACCCAACCAAAACCCGAACAGGTATGGTGGGAAGAATAAGAGCAAAAAATTAGCAGTCAGTAAAAGGACAAACGATGTCATTCTTGTTAACAAGTCAGCTCTCAAACATGCCATCAAAAGCCCTCCTACAGTATCAGACTCAGGTGACTGGTCTTCCTAGCAGAATCCAGGACCTCAGCCAGACCCCCAGACTCCTCATAAAATGCACGAGGAGAGGTGGGAGTCCAGAGGAGCCTGCACGCTGAGAGAAGGGCCTGAGGATACGTGGGGAATGGGATGCATCTGAAATCCTGTTCTTTGGGACCTAGGGCATAACTTCAGGGTGCAATGGTGTGCACCAGTTCCTGAGAACATCCACGCTTTCCAAGAACTGAAGAAAGCTCCCTCTTTAGAAAGAAGACTGCAGAAGAGATCAGATTTTACACAGCAGTCCAAAATATTTTAACATAGATCAATCATCTGCTGAGGAAGAGAAGGATCCAGGATGGATCCTCTCCTCCACCCCACTGCTTATCTTCTACCCTTCTACCAAAGTAGTGCCCATCAGCAGCAAAGAAAACAAGGTTAATTGGGCCAGTGCGATGCTACAGCTCAGCAGCCCGAGCACTCTCTTGGATGCCTGGTCTACCTCCTAACACCGGGCTTGTATTTTGCATTAGTTGTTATTTGAAATATGGAAACCTGGGAGGTGGGGCTAGAGCCACACAGATATAGTTTCAACTCAGTTTTTTGGCCCTCAAAAGCCTGCACGTGAGAACAACCCCTCAGAGACAAGCAAGAGAGCTCTTAAAACTAAACTAAACCCCATCACTGACCCACCTTTATCGCTGCAAGCAAAGTCTCCTTTTGACACTGCTCTTTCTTCTCCATCACCTTTGCTTTCCTTGCATCCCGCTCCTCGGCTCGCTATGTGTAAGAAAAAGTTGCACCATGGTCACACACAGCAAGTCAATGCCCATCACCACCCTACCCTGCCAACGGGTGGAGAAATCAGTTCAGATCTCCAGAAGGGTCCCCTCCAGCTCTCTCCCCTGCACGTGTCAACACGCACTACATGGAACCACCACTCGATTCTGTTTGGGGATATAACACACAGAATCTTGTATAGAGCACTCTTCAACCAAGGATCCCAAAGTGCTTCTTGACACAAAGCAGGCGACAAGCATTGTAGACGCTAGACTGCCTTAATATTTACCTTCAATTTGTCAGCTTTAGCTCTCATTTCCACAAGCTTTTTCTCTTTTGAATCTATTCGCAAGCCCTCCTCACACCATGCTATTGCTTCAGAGAAATTCTTTAGCTCCATGTGACAGAGAGCTCCTGGAAGGATTAAGATTTTTAAGTTTCCAGTATGGGAGTCAGAATACAACTGCTACACAAAACGGGTGTTACAAAGACAGCATTAGCCCTAGTGCTTTCAAGAAGAGCACGCAGCAGCACACACTGTTGTCCTGCAGGGTCATATTCGATCCATTTGTAGACTTCCAGCACATCAGCTGAGGACAAAATCTAAAATATTTCAGCAGTTCCTGTATCATTTGCTCGTCTAGCCACAGAAATCAACAGAATGATGTTACAAGTGTCTGTTACAAGCACAATTTTTAGCACTGTAATTAACATTTAAGTATTTGTCTCGTAAGGAAAAAATTAAAGTGGCCATTTCCGTGGAGTGAGAACGGCTGTTGGGAAAAAATCCTCAAACCCCCCAAAAATAGTATTGTGGAAAACAGCACAAGTTACGCTGTGCTCTACAGAAACGGGTCCAAAGCCTCTTTGACAGACAGAGAAGCTGAAGAGCAAAGAGCAGAAAGACAATGTTTTGACTGAAAAGCCAAAGCAAAACACAGAGCTCTGTTTTGGGGAGAAACAGCAATAACAAGAGAAAGAAGACATCTGGTACAGTAACTGCTGTAACTTCCTGAAATGAATGCACTCCTGAAATAAAGGAGGAATGCACACTCAACAACCATTTCAGGTTTGGAAACACTGTTATTTAACACACAGACACATTCCGGGAAACAAAGCAACATCCAACAACAGCTTGTTCCTGGGCTTGTAACAGTAACAGCATAATAAGCAAAACCAACATGTGCAAAGCTGTTCTGAAGGGATGTTCCTTGCGCTCCACGCAGTAACACCTGCTTCAACTCTCACCTCTTATGATTGCTTTGAGATGGGTGGGCCTCAGCTTTTTCGCTTGGATGGCATCATTGAGAGCAGAACGGTAGTTACCTACAAAGCAAGTGACACTGCTCAGAACCTTTCATTTATATTTTAAATCGCACCTGACCCGAAAGTGACAAAATAGCTTATGTGGAGACTACGATTCACTGTTTCCACAGTCGCTGCAAGGCGAGCGGAGGAAGAAAGAGCAAACTAAGAGGAAGGACCGAAAGGAGAGGAATCCCCCAGACAGCTGACAGCCCTGTTCCCAGCCCTGCCCGAGGCAGAACGGTGCACGTCTCCTTACCCAGGTAAAACTGTGCAGCCCCTCGGTTTGTGTGCAGCACGGCGTTCAGCTCTGCGTCCTCACACTTCTTCTTCAGCCCCTCGGTGTAGGCGACCACAGCCCTCCTGTAGTCCTTCTCCCTGAAGTACTCGTTCCCTTCGTTTTTGTACATCTTGGCCAGCTCTGCAGGGGACGAAATGGGGGAGGAGAGGGCCTGAGCTGAGGGTGCCGCTCCACAGCGCCCCAGGGGCGCCCCAAGCCCTGTCCCCCAGCCGGGCAGACCCCTTCCCGAGGCCGGCAGACGCCCCCCCAGCCCCGGCTGCCCACCTGCGGGGCCCTGCTCCTCGTCGAAGAGGAGGGACTGCAGACAGGCCAGGTCGGGCTGCCGCTCCGCGTCGATCTCGGCCGGGCACCGCTTCATGAACATGGGGATGGCCTCCAGCTCCTGCGGGCGGACACACACCGACCCTCAGCTCAGCCCTGCCCGGCCCGACCCCCGGTACCTCCCTCCCCGGCCCCGCCGCCTCACCTCCTCCCAGGTGTCGGGGTGGAGAGCGCCCCGGTACCGCGCCGCGCCGCCACCCGGCCCGTCCTCCGCCATGCTGCCGCTCCGCACCGCCCCGCGCCTTCCGACCGACCGCCCACCGCCTCAGGCCCGGCCCCACCGCCTCAGGCCCGGCCCCAGCCCCGGCTCCGTCGCCTCAGGCCCGGCCCCAGCCCCGGCCTAGCGCCTCAGGCCCGGCCCCACCACCAGCCCTGGCCCGGCCCAGCGCCTCAGGCCCGGCCCAAGCCCCGGCCCAGCATATCAGGCCCGGCCCCACGCCTCGGGCCCGGCCCCAGCACCAGCCCTGGCCCGGCCAAGCGCCCTCAGGCCCGGCCCCACCACCAGCCCTGGCCCGGCCCAGCGCCTCAGGCCCGGCCTCAGCCTCGAGCCAGCCCCGGCGCCTCAGCCCCGTCCCCGGGCCCGTCCCAGTGCCCTCAGGCCCGGCCTCAACACCCACGGCTCCGGCTTCCCTGAGCCCAGCCCCGAGCCCTCAGGCCTGTCCCCAAGCCCCCGGGCCCATCACCAGAGCCCTCGGGCCTGGCCCCATCGCCTCAGCCCTGGCCCCAGCACCCCCCCGGGCCCAATCCCAGAGCCCTCAGGCCTGGCCCCACCACCTCAGCCCTGGCCCCAGCACGCCCCCGGTCCCCATCCTGAGCCCCCAGGCCAGCTTTCAGCAGCAGGTTTAGGTGGCATCTCCCACAGGATGGCAGGTAGAGCTGATCCTGCTTGGGACAGGGTGAAGGTGGCCCAGGTGACCTCCTCACGTGCGGGAGCACAGGGGTGTACCACAGCCCTACATGACAGTGGCACTGCTGTGGCTCCTGTTCTCCAGACCCAGTAGCTGTGGCATGGGGATAGGGGAGTCTCAGGGGACAATGCCACCCACCCTGGGATGGCAGCATGTCACCACCCTGCAGGACAGGGTCCCTTACAGCCTTTAAGCAACAATGCAGTCTGGACACTTTAACCCCTTGGCTTTGCAGGTCCCCAAATTTCATGTTTCCTCGTTATTATTTATTTTTTTTGGCAAAGATTTTCTACCACTCTGAGGTTGCATCCCCAAAACCACACCGTCACCACCTAAGCCCAGCAGATCCAGGCACCTCACCAGCCGGACCGGGACACAGATGCCCCACACCATCCCTCACTTTAATCCCTGCAGATATGCAGCGCCGTGGCATTTTCAAGGCAAACAAGGCTCTAGGGTGCACCATCTTGCTTTAATTGAGATTTGCCTCCACCCTCACAGAACCTGGGTGTCTCCACAGAGAAGGTGCCAAGGGAGGAAAGGTGCCTTCCTCTCCCTCCCTCTTAAAACCCCTCACGCTGGCAACTCAGCACCTGAGAGGGACGAGGGAAAGCCCCTCCTCTCCCCGCTCCTGCAGCCTCAGCTATTGTGTGGGCTCGACTGAGGCCATTGCCAGTCTGTCTGCCATGGCTGGGCAGTGAGGGGCTGGCCCTGCCAGTGCTCCCACAGCCGTACAAGGCTATACATGCTGGTAAAATCAGCCTATAGCCAGAGGGAGAAACACCCTTGGTCCCACAGAGGAACTGGAGCTGATCCCAGATGAACCTCAGCGCCGTTGCAAGACACCGAGGCCAGCTCTGAGGTGAGCTGGATTCTGCTCCGCTCCTGCAGAGCCGTCACCGACATCCTGCACATCCCAGGGCTGTTCATTTAAACTCAGTGCAGCAGAGAGGAGAGATTCAGAGACGGGGGGGTGGGGGGGAGTTTAAGGGACTTGCACTTTACTCATCAGCTCAATGACACCTTCCTTGGTTAGGAACAAAACCTCACCGGCGTTCTGATTCCACACTTCGAAGACCGGGGGGTCCTCACAAACCCTCTTCCCAGCGATGACCACGTAGGGGTAACCCAGTTTGTTGGCGTCCTTCAGCCTTTTGCCAATGGTCAGCTGTGTCCTGTCATCCAGCACCGAGTCGCGGGCGAGGTGGGGCAGGGCTTCGGCCAGGTCATCGTACGCCCGCTCCAGCAGCGCCGCTCCCTCCTCCTCCTCCTTGCTGCCTCTCTTGGGGGGGATGAAGCAGAGCTGGTAGGGCGCGATGAGGCTCGGCCACCGGATGCTGTCCTCCGTAGACAGCACCTCGATGGAGGCCGCCAGGATGCGAGTGACCCCCAGGCCGTAGCAACCCATTTCTGCCAGCTGGGGTTTGTTCTCAGGGGACAAGAAGACGGCGTTGGAGACGGAGGAGTACTTGGTCCCCAAATAAAACGTGTGCCCCACTTCAATTCCCTTAGTCTGTGTGAGTTTTTCCCCGCAGGTGGGGCAAGATGTTTGTTCCCCATTTAGCGTTTCCACGTTGGCTGCAAAATGTCCTTCGGGGCACAGCACCAGCCTGTCCTCACCGATGTCTGCCGGGAGCTGGAACTCGTGGGACATGGTGCCGCCGATACTGCCCGTGGCTGCCCGCACTTTGACGAAGGGAAGGCCCAGCCTGTCGAAGAGGCTGCAGTAGGCGTTGCACACCAGGTCATAGGTCTGCCGAGCCGCCTCTTCGGAGGCGTCGAAGGTGTACATGTCCTTCATGTAGAACTCCCGGCTGCGCAGCAAGCCAAAGCGGGGCTTGGGCTCATCCCGAAACTTCCTGGTTACCTGGTAAAGGCGCAGCGGGAGCTGCTTGTAGGACAGGTTGGTGTGAGCGGCCACCAGCTCCGTCACCGCCTCCTCGTGCGTGGGGCCCAGGCAGTAGTCCTTGCCATGCCGGTCGGCCAGTCGGAAGAGCTCCGGGCCCATCCGCTCCCAGCGGCCGCTGGCTCGCCACAGCTCCGCCGAGCTCAGGCTGGGCATGTTCAGCTTCTGCCCTCCCACGGCCTGCATCTCCTCGTCCATCACCTTGACGAGCTTCTCCATGGCGCGGACGGCGGGCGGCAGGTAGTAGTAGCAGCCGGGGCTGGCGGGATGGATCAGCCCCCCCTGCAGCATCAGCTTCTGGCTGCGGCACAGGGGCTCCCCGGCCCTGCCCTCCCCCCCCGCCTCGCTGCCCCCCGCCTGCAGGTTGAGGGGCTGGAAGAGCTTCGAGAGCAGCAGCCGCCTGGCCCTGCTCGGGCCGCCTTGCCGGGGCCCGCAGCTGCGCCGCCGGGCGCCCAGGGCCGGGAGCCGCCGCCATCCCCTCAGCAGGCCCACCATGGCGGCGCCGCCCTCACACCTGCCCCGCCGCCGGGGCCGCGCGCCACTCCGCCCCGCGCGCCCCCCCGCCGCCGCAGCCAATGGGGAACCACACGCTGCGATCACGTGGAGGGGGAAGCCGGATGTTGTCGGGGAGGAAGAGGGAGGCCGGGACTCTATGGTTCCGCCGGCATGGCGGTGGCGGGGGTGCCCAGCGCCACCTACCGGGCGGACAGGGCGGCTGCGGCGGGAGTCCGCCAAGGCGGCGCCGTGCTGGGGCGGGGGGCGCGGGAGGGGACGGGGAGCGCTGGGGCACTCCCGGCAGATAGAGGATGGCGGTGGGGCGACAACGGGGCTCTTAGAGGGCGAGCGCCGCAAGGGAGGCCAGGGAGATGATCGGGGAAGCCCCTCTGCTGTGGGACAGGCTGGGAGAGCTGGGGCTGCTCAGCCTGGAGAAGAGAAGGCTCCGGGGAGACCTTATAGCCCCTTCCAGTCCCTAAAGGGGGTACAGGAGAGATGGGGGGACTTTTACAAGGGCATTTGTGACAGGGCAAGGGGTAATGGCTTCAAACTGGAAGAGGGGAGATTCAGATTAGGTCTCAGGAAGACATCTTTCACTCTGAGGGTGGTGAGACACTGGAACAGGCTGCCCAGAGAAGCTGTGGCTGCCCCATCCCTGGAGGGGTTCAAAGCCAGGCTGGATGGGGCTTGGAGCAACCTGGTCTGGTGGGAGGTGTCCCTGCCCAGGGCAGGGGGGTTGGAACTGGATTATGATTAAGGTCCTTTCCATCCCAAACCATTCTATGATTCTATGATTTGCCTATTGCTTTCTTAATTAACAAGGTTTTACGAAACTGACAGCGTGGACAGCTTGCCAGACAGACGGCCACTCTGCAAAACCTGCTGCCACCCCCACGACACAGAGGGACAGTGACAGCACCTTCAGACCAAACTGCAGCTTCACCAGCTCTGTCCTCCCCCAGGCAACCATGGCTTTGCTGAGCTGGGTCACCTCTGGTGTGTGGTTGTGGCAGAGCACCCTCACCTCCTGCTGCAGGTGCTGCTGGGGGACCCCAGTCTCCAAAGTGTGACCCCATGGTCAGCAGTACCAGGAAAGGTGGTGCAAGCCCCTGAGATGCCACTCATCCCGTTGACCTTGGCTGTAAATTTGTGATCACGGGGTCCTTGAAAGCAACTAGCCCATCCTCTGCCCCTTCCAGGCTCAGACACAGGGGCAGTGTGTCCAGAGGTTGAACCACGTGGCCATAGGAGCACAACTGAAGAAGGGCTGAGAAATCAGAAGTCCTTTTTTCTTAGGTCGTTTCATCTTCCTCCACTCAAACCTGGCACAGACACCACCTGGCACCCAGTGGCCACCTTTTCAGCCTCCCACCTCGAGCTCCAAGGAAGTTAAACGTCTCTGAGGAGCGGTTGTAGGCACACATTGAAGTACTCCACTAGAGGAGGAGATTTCCCTTCCCTGAGCCTCATGGTATGAGGAGTTAAATAATCCTGTTTAAATATAAGGAAGTAAGAACGAGTCCCTATTTTATTTAAAAATGGGATTTGAAGAAATCACCGTGATTCTTCTATAATGAGAAATACTCACTAACGTGCACTCTTGTTTACAGGAGGCTGGAAATGGGCAAAATCAAGGGATTAAAGGACTCGTGAGTGATTTAGGAGCACTTAAGTCCTTAAGTAGTGGAGCCAGTTCTGCGAGGTGACGCAGCACCTCGTAAAACGTTGCCCAGAGGGACCTGGGGAAGTCCCTCAGCAGCCCAGGGCCAGAGCCAGGATTTCTGGGCTGCCAGGTGACAGCTTTGCTCCCAGACCCTGCCTTCACCAGTTTCATCAGGCACTTACTTCCCCCTAGGTGTTTCTCACCGTAATTAAGCAAGTGATGCAAAAGCTGCCTGGGAGAGGCACCGTGGCTGTCTCAGAGCCTGGAGGAGCAGGACAGGTCCCCGTGAGAAGGGGACCTACTTGTGCCTGGGTGCAGAACATCTGCCAGTCGAGCTGTGGGTCCTGCAGGACCTCGAGTGCCATATTGCACATCCCTTTGGCCATCTCTCCTGCCTGCCCAGGAAATGAAAGATATTCTCCGGGCATGGGAGGGTTGTCTTTCACCATTTCCATCACCCGTTGGAGCCACAGAAGCAGAGCACGTTTCCGTCAGTGACTTATTGCCTGCTGTGCTGATCAAAGGGACAAAAACATCTTGGATTGATTGGCCAGGGCAGTGTTTTAACCGGGAGGGTTTAAGGCCGTGCAAGAGACACAGTCTGTGGGGAAAGCCGATATCTCTTATTAAATCATCAGACAGGACTGAACGCGGGGCTAAGCTCGGGGGTTATGTGCCTGAAAGCATGTCTGTGCTCCTTATTTTTTCCAGCTGTGGCTGGGGGAATGTAATAAAGGTACTGCTGTCCCTGCAGCCTTCCACTGAGCTGCTCGCCTGCTGCGTTGCCAGGGGCTGATTTATGCCATTGGGGCCAACATCGTGGCCTGGAAGGGGGGTGCTCTGTACGTGGGAGGATGGAGGGTCTCAGCTCCTGTCTGGAGCCTCCGGGGGATTTCCAGGAGGAAAAGCACTGAGGAAGGGGGGGAAGGTGAACAAAGGACCCGAATCAGTCCTGGACGCAGCGCTGGGTACAGCACCTTGCCAGGACAATCAAGGGGGTTGATCTTGGAGAAGCCACAGTCCTGTTTTCCCCTGAGGGTGGTGGAAAATGTTTCTTTCCAGCAGCATCCGCAGGTAGCACCAGGCCAGGGTTGGGGAAGAGAAGTCAGGGCAGGTGGGAGACCAAGTCATTCAGCGGCCGAACCTCTCTCTATCCTGGGGAAGATGTGCAGTTTGGGGTCTCAGCACAGCGAGGCAACACAACCCAACCCACCCTGGACATGCTCTTACACAGCCTGTAGGGTCTGTGAGCCCACAGCACCGACTCGCACACTGAGCTGATGAACTTTCCCAAGTACTTTCATTCCCTCCGGTGATGTTACTGTGACTGCACCACTGCAGGACAATGCTTTTGTGCCCGGTGAAGGAGTAGGTGCAGGGCTTGTCTTAGGTTCGCCCCTCGGGAAGTTACTGGGGGATACAAAATTATCAGGGATCCCCTGCACCCTCGGGTGCTTTCAGACAGCTCCTGCTGAGCAAACAACACTGATAAAAATATAGCAATTAAATCAATCAGAAGAATGCATATCATCAGAGGTTCAGGGCTACTTTGGATGTAGTTGCACACAGCATCCATCAGTGCTAGGTGCATTACACCATGAGTTATGAGTGTGTGTAAGGGACCAGAGGTCAGTTTTTACACAAATGGGTTTGGGGTCCCCCTCCTGCTGAAATAATCATAGAATCATAGAATGGTTTGAGTTGGCAGGGACCTTAAAGATCATTGAGTTCCAACCCCCCTGCCATGGGCAGGGACACCTCCCACCAGACCAGGTTTCTCAAAGCCCCATCCAACCTGGTCTTGAAGACCTCCAGGGATGGGACATCCACAACTTCTTCACCCCCCTGCAGAGATAACAGGCAGGGGCCTCCTCACCCAGACTCACCAGCGGTCACAGATGCAGCAGATATGGTGCCACAGAGGACACAAGCACTAAAAGCAGCATTTTATTGCCCCAAGCCCTGAATACGTTGCTTTAGCCAGGCTAGGAGCCTCCATTGCAACCTGCTGTCTGCCAGCCCAGCCCTGTCTGCTCTTGGAAGGGGACGTTCCCTGGGGAACTGGGATGCTGGCTGCCACGGTGACAGCTGCCATGGTGAGGACTGCCACCATCCCTGTAGCCCTTGGAGACCGGAGCTGCCAGCATGGAGCTGCAGGTGGTCCCTAGGGACATGGACAGCCAGGTGAGGCCTGTGGAGAGGGCTGGACTCACCAGTGTAGCTCTCCTCACCTCCCAGGTTGTCTGTGCCAGCCGGGAAGCAGCTTCTTGCACGGGGACATTTTGCACAGGGCGGCTGGGACACCCAGCTCAGGCTGGGAAGTGTGGGATGGGGGCTGTTCATGCTGGAGCTCGCTGGTGCCTTCCTGGTGCTCAGCAAACATGGAGTGTGACATGGAGCAGCAGGTCCCTGTGTCCAGATGCCCTGATCACACCTCTGTGCCCGGCTGTGGAGTCCTGGTGCTGCTGATGGCAGTGCCCCATCTCTGCATTGCAGGAAAAAGCATCAGCTTCTGGCTTGGCCAGGGCAGAGAAGAGCTGTCACTTGCCCCATTTCCAGTCCAAGGAGATAATGAAGAGGCGCAAACGCTGGGTAGGAGCTGGGTTTCATCTGCCCCCTGGGCACATTTGCTGGGGGGAAGCTGGTGCGGGCAGCGCTGCCCAGCCCCGTCCTCACCCTCCTTGTGCTCTCCTCCTGCAGCAGGAACGGCTGGGCCCGGGAACCTACAACATCAGGGACTTTCTGCAGGAGACACGGCCCTGCAGCCTCCGGGGGATCTGCGACACGAGGGAGCAGCGCTTCAGAGATGGCTGTAGGGTACGTCGCACCCCAACATGGGAGATGCTGGGCAATGGTGCCCACTGGCTCTGCAGGACTCAGCTCTGGGCTGACACCTCCAGAGAACAAGCCCTTTGCAAGGGTTAGGAGATACCGTGGGCGCCGTCTCCTCCTGCTGGGCTGGGGACTGTCCCCCTCGCCGAGGTGTCCCATGGCCACCCCACCTCTTCCACAGGACTGCTTCCCCGGCCCTGGAACCTACGGTCCTCAGGGGAACCCCTACATCCCCCTCCAGGAGAGGGACAAGCGCTACGCCAGCACGCGAGGAGTGATGCACAGCAAGACCGTGAGGTGTGGCCTGCCAGCAGTCCTGGTGAGTCCTTGCCCTGGGGACGTGCTGGTGGGGTGGCCCTGTCCCCTGCACTGACACCTTTCCCCCCATGCCTGCAGGGCAGTGGCCTGGGACCCGGCACCTACGAGCTGCGGAGCAGCATCGACGAGGGGCTGCAGCGGGCGATGGACTCTAGATCCTGCAAGACCTTCTTGGGGCACAAGTCGAAGCCCACCGTTGGTGGCCATCACGCCCTGGAGGTGCGTTGCCCAGGGGTCCCATACCCGGATGGGGTTTCTCAGCAAGCTGTGGCATTGCCATCACATTGCTGCAAGGATGGAGAGCTGCCTTGTGCCAGCTTCTGTCCCACCTTGGATTTTGCTCATCGGCTTCCCTTGGATCCTGGAAAAACTTGGGAGCAAGTGGGCTGTAGGCACTGTAGAGGAGAACGGGCTGGTGCCCATGAGCAGTGTCAGGTCTGAGCTCCCATGGCACAGGACAGATGAGGTGGCCTGAGAGACCACCAGCAGTTGAGCCTCTCATGCTGCTCCCTTGTCTTGGCAGAGGAAAGGCACCAAGCCGAGCACTGGTGCTGTCAAGAGTTTCCTGGATGAGCTGATGTTGAGGGAGAACAAGAAGAAAGGCTGCTTCAGCACCCTGCCCAGGAACCCGGGCTGCCCCACAGAGAGGATCTTCTGGGCCACGCTCAGCCAGTGCCCAAGGGAGGAGGTCAGTGGGAGAATGGACATCGGCACCGATTGGTGTCACCGGCGTCCCCGGTGGTGCAGTGGGTGCCCACGGTGGGGATGCATGAGGCCCTGGTGGAATGGACGGGTGGGTGGGTGGCTCTCCAACATTGTACAGCTCTTTTTATGAGCAAACTGAAGTGTAACAGGTTCCCTTCTGCACAGTGGGCGGTGGGGCCGGGCTCCTACAACCCAAAGCCCATTGAGAGATCAGAGTACTCCAACCAACCTCCTTTCTGGTCATCTGCCAAGAGATTTGACAGGAAGTCCTACCGCTTCTTTACCGGGAACGAGGTGAGTGAAGGGACAGGGCAGTGAGAGCGGGACGCAGGAATGGTCAGGCTCTGAGCTTCCTCCATAACCATCCCCAATCCATTCCCAGCACCCCTGGGAGAGGATGAAACTCTTCCAAGCCAAGTTCTTTACTGTGAGGGTGGTGAGACACTGGCACAGGTTGCCCAGAGAAGCTGTGGCTGCCCCATCCCTGGAGGTGTTCAAGGCCAGGCTGGATGGGGCTTTGAGCAACCTGGTCTGGTGGGAGGTGTCCCTGCCCAGGGCAGGGGGTTGGAAATCAATGATTTTTAAGGTCCCTTCCAACCTGAACCATTCTGTGATTCTATGAAAGGGTGGGGGGCTTCTCTCCAGCTTTGGCCAGCTTCGTGAGGGATGTCCTCTGAATGGAGCAGCACGCCAGCAGAAGTCCCACTTCAGGTGCTGTCTGTGATAGAAAGGCAGCCTGACCTCAGGTGTTGCTTTTTCTCTCCCTGTTGATTACCAAGGAAACCTGGGTGACTTGGCCAGATACCCGTCCTTTAGAGAGGAGATGAGTGTCTCTGAGGGCTGTTCTTGTCCAGAATGGGTTGCTAAAGAGTCCTGCCAGGTCAAGGGATGGTGCCCGCTCTACCTGAGGATGCTGAGCACACACTGCCCTGGGGCAGATGAGCTGTGCTGGTGTTGAGCAGAGGGGCAGGACCTCAGTGGAGACCACGCTATCTCTGCCTGCTCCTCAGGGCTTTGCCCTTTTCAAGGGATGCTCAGACAGCCCCTTTCCATTAGTTCTGCTCTGCATCAGCTGCAAGCAAGCAGATGCACTTCACGGATGAGGGCAGCCGGGTTTGAGTCCTTTTAAGGTGCCAGGAGCTCTTTACATCCTTCCAGAACGTCATAGTTTGCTGCTTGAAAGCCAGTTTTTCCTCTAGCAGCATCAGCAGCATGTTGCAGAGCCAGTGCAGGTGGGAGCCCTTCCCTTAGTACCTGTCCCTGGAGCTGTATTCATCTCGGAAGCTTCCCCACGGGGAACCAGAACAAAGCCTAAAGGGCTTAAAGCAACAGGGAAAGCTTTAGTCTGAAATAGTCCACCTTGGCTAAGGATGAGGAGTGGGCTTCCACGTGGCTTCCTCTCCTTTATCCAGCCGAGTAGGGAACAGGCAGCTTGAAAGAGGTCAAGGATGAAGACATCTTCATAATTGCTGGGGAATTGGACGGATTAGATTTCAGTGGGGAGGTTGTGACAGGGCAGCCCTTCACTGCAGCTGGCAGCAGGGGCCTGGCGAGCATGTTCCAACCTGCAGAGTCTTTGTGACAAGAGGAGCTGCTGGTGAAAGGGACTGGTTGGGCTAACACCGATTAGTGTGTCTCCTCCTCCCTCCCCCACAATATTGGCCTGGTTTGCTTAAGGTACGCCACGTATTATTGTATTTTTCACAACTGAAGGCCTGGCCACATGAAGGCACTACCTGTTTTTTCCCTACTTGCATCCCCTACACTGCCTCTGGATGGGGAAGCACGTGAGACCTTCTCCTTCCAGAACCCTGTAGGTGTTGGCCGCTACGACATCACCAGGCATGAAAAATACCCTCCAAAGACAAGATACCAGTCCCTGTACCAGTGTGACACACAGCGGTACCTGAGCGACTTGAAGCGGGACGCCTACTTGCTGTAAGTCTGAAAAGCAAGGAGCTGAGGTGGTTTCACACTGGCTTACAGGAAAACCATCTTGAGCAGCTCTGGGGAGACTTAAGTGTGTGTTACTGATGTGAGATGGGATGGTCATGTCGTTAAAGCACTGGATCAGGACTGAGAAACACACACCAGCCCCACCACAGGCTCCCTCTGGACAGGGGAAGTCCTTGTCACCTCTTCCCTCCCAGAAAAGCGAGGAGACCTTCGTGCTTCCCCGCTGCAGAGGGGGAGTGGGAGGGTTATAGAACTGCTGGCTCTCAAGGCACTTCACAGACGCCGAGGTGGCTGCTGTATCTTGAGAAATGCAGTTTGCCTGCGGCAGAGGTGTAGGCAAATAGTTTCCATCGAGTTTGAGGCGGCAGCCTGGGAAGGAATGGGGAGGTGGAGGGATAATCAGGCTGCCTGGACTCATTCCCAGTGCCGGCGCTGGGCTGCTTGAGGGGCCCCCAACAAAAATCACCTTCTCTGTGGAAGGCAGATAACAAGGCTCACCTCCACCGCAAAGGGCTTTGAAATTGCCAGCATGAAAACCTTGTGAAGCAGTTAGGAAGTAGGCTAATGAGAGACCTCGGGACGGCCCTCCCCTCTCACCTTTGCTTGTGGCCAAGATTAGTGAACTGCTGCGGTGGCACCACGGGCTGGCAGCTCTGCCAAAGCTCCTTCTTGATCTCCAGAGTCGCTAGAAATCAGTCTTGGCTGAATATAACCCGGCAGCTTTCAGCGAGGCAGCCACAAGTTCGTTAGCTCTCCTACAATGGAGAAAGCATAATGAAATCTAGCTTTCAATATTTCAATATTACGCTTCCAGTAGGAATAAAGAAAGAAATCTGAACAGCGAGCAGGACGCAGAATTTAAACACATCCCCCTGATCAAACAGCACTAGCTCCAAAATCACTTTCCAAGCTACAGCGGTGCTTTCTAGGGAATACCCAGGCTTTTATCCAGGAGCTCTGTTCACCTCCGTGCTTGTTAAGACTGATGAGATTAATCCAGCGAATAATTTGAGCCCACTGAATCGCATCCTCTTTCCGCAGCGAGAGGATCAAGCCTGTTGCTAAAAACAACTGGAGTGATTTGGTTTCTGCCCCATGTTGACCGGATGCTTCCGAAGAAATCACTGCTGTTTTCTAAATGTGAGACAGTGCTGGGAAGCCCGGATCAGTGAGTAAATGGCCGATGCACCAGCGGATGAGATGGGGGTAGATGAAAGTACAGCGTGCTGGCACACAGGTCAAAGAGATAGGAAAATGCTCAAGTGTTGTTCTATGGTAATAAAACACTCTTAGACAATCATCGGTCTGACTTTTCTGCCGAGCAATTAATTATTTCCACCTTGGCCTTTATAAACACGACACGCTCGAGAACAGGATGCCAGGTACCACGTGTCCTCCGGAGGAAGCTTTCCGGGCATGCACAGCTCATCCCGTGTTAAACACTTCCTTTTCAAACAACACTACTTAAAATAGTTGGACATACCTGTAATGGGCATGGTGGGGTTACCACAGCTGAAGGCCTCCAGGTCCACCAGTACAACTCAACGGGGAGCTGGGTCTGAGAAAGCAGTAGTTCGTTAGAAACTAACTTATTAGGGGGAGTTTTAGTGTCATCGGTCCACATTTTGTAGATTAAAATGCAAAGGCAGCAGAGTTAAGTGGAGAGAGACATGTCAGTGGTAACAAAGGACAGCCATAACTCTTGAGTACACTGCTTCAGTCAGCATTAACCTCCATGAAGTCTTGCACTAGTGTTTAGACCAGACTGGAATAACTAAATCTAGGTGTAATTACATGTTGGCTGTGGCTGATTAAGAATGCTAATTAATCTGCAATTATCCTTTGGTGGGGGAGATAATTGAACACAGGTAAAACTGCAGTGATTTAAGGAAATGCTGATTATTGTTCTGGTGAGCAAAGGAGGAAGGAGGTCTCTGAAAGGTGATGCTGGATGTGGGTGAGTGGGGGCTACAAAAATGCTGCTGGGGCAACAAAAAGAGGATTGTGAAATGCAGTGTAAGTCAGGGCCAGCAGGGAAAGCAAGGTTTTGGCACCTGAACTGCAGCTTCAGCGGGGCTGGGACATTTGGCAGCCTGGATTTCAGCAGAAAACCTGGGAGCATCTCTCTGGGAAGAGAGGATTGGGAGAGCATGCCCCAGCTGTGACCAAGGGAGGGCAAGAATTCCTCCAGCTGAGCCTACAGAGCCGCTGAGAAGGCATTTCTCAAGGAAACAGATGTGGATGTGACACTCCTCGGGCTGAAGAAGGCACTGGATCTTCATCCTTGCTTCTGTGGCTGATCATTCAAACCAGGGATTAGTTTTATTAACATAAAGTGAGAAGAATGAGGTAGGTATCCATGTCAGCAGCTGTAGCATCTAAACCTAAAATGGGGTTTTGTCCTCCTGGGGCAAAACCTCAGAGGGAAAAAATGAGGCAAGGTGGGGGGAAAATCAAGATAATTGGCATCATGAGGCTGTGTGGAGTTAGTGGGGTGTAACTGAAGGGTTAAGGCTGAGCTATAAGGTGTTTGTTTTGTATGGGTGTGTCTTCGGGCAGAGATAAGGGTAGACTCACAGACTTCAAAGACATTCCTTCAAAGCTGTTTGCAGCACTGGGCTCCTCATCTCCAGCCTCAAAATGCCTCTGGTCTCTTAACCCAGACAGCAGCTTCTCTCAGTAATCGCTGACCGCTTGTAACAATACAAGAAGCATGAGAAATGATAAACAGAAATGTTGAAAAGTAAGTAACCATTCATCAAAAGACACCACTTTGAACAGTACGCTGGCTAGATCTTTATTTTAAGCAGCCCGTACAACCAAAAATAAGGAGCAACAGCAATGATGCGTGTGCGTGTGACTGATACAGTTACAGTACCCAATCACATCATACAAAGTTTGCCAATAAATTAAGGAGTGAAAAAAAACCAAACAAAACCAAATACAGTGCATACCTAAAGATCATCAGTACATAAGTGAGAGATACACGGTCTAAGTAAAAGTATTTGCATATGCTCTAGCTCTTTTAACATCGCCCTTTAAAAGCTAACCCAAACCATTCTTGCTCTGTGCAGGTTATCTTACAAGCACTGGGCTAAATTGTAGCTTTGCCCCAGGGAGAAGGAAAGGGCTCTCCTACAGCTTCCCTCAGGAGGGCAGGTGACACCCCGAGAATCACCATCCCAGGTATCTTGAAGCCCAGAACAGTGTAGCAGACACTCCTGGATCACTGACACAGCTCTGTGGTGGCTGTGTCTCCCCGAGGCAGGCTGCTCCTGCTACCAATCCTGCGGGGTTTCTAAGGGGTACCTTCTTTGCACACAATTTGCCCAGCGGGCATCACTGAGTAACAGCCCAAGCTCATTCGTGTCACTGTTTTATCATTGGTTTCATCTGGACCTTAAACATCCATCTATCAATAAATAAAATCATTGGTTTAGCACTCATATAAAAATTACAATGCCTCCCACTGGTAGCAATTAAAAAAAGTTCATCGTGTTAGCCCCTACACAAGCCTCAAGAAAATGACTTTTTATTTTCCCTCAAGCTCAGTAAGGTTTCAAGTAATAATTTTAAGTACTGCTTGGACAAGACGGGCTTGGTTTGGAATTGTGTTTCTGGCTACAGGGTCAAAACACCTCCACACTTCTACACCTGACTGTATGAAGTGCGTGACTGCGCCGTTTTCACCAGTGTACAGCAGAAGGGGAAAGTGAACAACATTTACTGTTGTGATTTCCACTCCAGGTGACTGAAACAGTCCTTTTACAAAGCCTATCGATCTAATCCAGCTCAAATGAAAAGCAAAAATGTCCCTCGAGTCAGAACCAAAGCCTCTGTGTATCAAGATTCACAAGAAGAGTTCTTCTTGTCCACAGCCACCTGCTTTAACAAACCTTGTATAAATAAAGCCTTGACTTCCTTTTCCTACTGGTCAGGACAGAACGGTCTGAAAAAACCCACATCTTCCTCCAACTCAGTATTTATAAGGCACTAAAATTAAGCAACAACTGAAATGCAAAAACACCCTAAAAAACCCAACAACAACAAAAAAATCCAAATGATGATGCACAGCGAGTAAAAAACTGAAATTAAAGCTTGGCTATATGAAATAGCAGCAATTTTTCCTGTAGTCTACAAAGCCAGAACACTGATATTTTTGGGCGAAAACCAATGCACTTTCAAGCAATTCAAAAGCACCTAAAACCTACATCCACTTACACTTCAAAATCAGTACAAATCCGATAGGCACAAGTAAAAAGCATTTTCTTCACACCTCGATGCTCAGTTTTGAAATGGAAGCCACCGTTGGGGAGCTGAACTGCCCTGCTGAGACCATGGTGTGGTACAACCCAAGCAGTGCGGTACCACACAACGTCCTGCAGCACCGTACAGCCGGAAGATTCCGGTACCATCGCTGAGCTGTTCCACAGGTTACCCACTGGAGGCAAATGTTTTAAACATCACGATTAATCTGACAATGCATTCAGCTTTGGCACCTATTTCTGAGCCCTCCTTACCATTTTCAAAAGTAATGTTAAATATAGCTATAGTATACAGCTGGTGTAACTCCAGTTTCTTCATCCTTTCCAATTATTTTTCTTACGCTTGGAAATAGGTGAATTCACCTATGTCACGACGTTAGGTACAAAGGCTAGCACTTAAGATTTCTTAAAAACAATCACTTTGAGTTTGGAGAATTCATTTTTAAAACATACGAAGAAATACTAAACATAAATTTATAAAGCAGGAATTCATACCTTTAAACATCAACAAGAATAAGCTTATTTGGAGAGCAATAAAGCTTTTTTTTTTTTTTTAAGGATATACTAGACTAGCTATAGGTAAATTCATCTTTCCCTGATTGCTTGATTAGATCATTCAGGCTCAGTGCCTCGCAGCTTTGCAGATTTTGTCATACACTTCTGGAAAGGCATCCTTGCAATTCATCTGCTCCCTCAGCTTGTGGTATAACGAACCATCAAACATATCCCAGAACTCCTCACGGGTCATGTAGCAATCTGCATACAGCATCTGGAAACTGGAGTGGAAAAAACAGAAAGGAAAAAAAAAAAAGAAAAGAGACAGAGATTCAGTACTCATTGTGCCACAAGATTTGAAATAGAATATAAAAAAAATATCAGAGCAAGCTACAAACAGCAAATATTCAAAAAACCAGTCATTTTGGTGAAGGGGAAGATGGGAAAAGAAAGGAATTAAAATAACGGTTGCTTTTAAAATTCGGTTGAGAACGCTTCTTTAGCCATCAATAGATTGATACTTTCACTAGTTTTGCTATGATGAAGAGAAAAGAAGGACTAAAAGATGTGTATAAAAGAGTGGTTCATGTTTAGACATCCTAAGCATGCACAGCCAAATCTGACACCTTGTACTCGAACAACTTGTGTTCACAGAAACACAGGTCTAGAGAGAACTTCAACAGTTCCTCCAAATCAAGAGTCTGGCCCCTTGCACCAAAAACCCCACATGAGCTAAATACTCCCCGACAAACACTTTCCTAACTACTTTTGAAAGCTTCCTTTTTCTTCCACTCAAAACCTTTCAATTCCAGCTTCAGAAAAAAAAAAGGGTGCACTTTTTGTGCATGTTTTCTTATGATCCATGCAGGTACGGCCATGGCATCTCCTATTAGCCTGCATTACAAAACGTGTTCAAGGCAGATGTAGCAACGTGTCCTTTGGGTTTTTAAGGTTTCTTCAAACTGGACATTGAGAATATAACTGGGATGTCAAAAACCTGCCGAATCAGACCAGACCAAGTTGATAAATTTATAGTGTAAATAAGGCACAGTGTAACAAAGATCCTTTTAAAAAAATAAATAAAATCACTATTTAGCTGTGGACTCTTACTTTTACACTGCGCTCTCTAAAACGCAGCCAGCATCAGAGTACAGCAGTAAAACTGTTACATAAAAGCTCTATTGTGTGTGATTACGAAACTGTAAGATTAAGCATTTATCCATTGTTCATTTCTCAGTGACAGGTAGAGAAGAGGCAAAACTTTGTTATGTAAAGAGCTTTAAATTAAAAGCTTAATTTCAAGTTAATTAAAAAAAAGCTTAAAATTACTTTCGGTTGCTTTGTTCTCTGGCAGATCACTTATTGCAGCTAGAAGTCATTTACACTTTCCAAATCATCTCAAAGCAGACTCACCATTGTTACTCAGCCACATGGGATGTAATCACTGTTAGACTGAGAAGTAGGTCAAAATAAGAAAAAATGTGGATAAATTATACTGATGGTGTAAAAATACCATGCCGTTGTTTTTTTGTTCCTGAGAAACAAGCCTGTAACTGCTCCTCCACTGACACTACTACAGCAAATTAGGCTGGCACGAGTCTGTGACAGATGGTGGGCAATGCATCTCACGCCCACTGTGGTCCTGTGTAATGAGAATCAGGGCAGGGAAAAGGAAGCTATGGAAGGAGAAGTGGTGATGGAGGAAGGACTCCCACCACCGCACAAGGACTGCAAGGGGGAGTCAAGGATGACCTCCCTGCACAAGGACACCCCAGCGCAAGGACGTGACGCTGTGGGGATGGCAGGGAGCAGAAGACTCCCAAGGGCAGGTGGGGAAGCTGTCCAAACTTTATCAGCCTGTGGGATTCCTGGAGGGACTGTGGCCAGAACCAGCACTTGCTCTGTCCCTGCTCTGAAACAAGCCCCCCTCAGCACACGAGCTCAGTGGCTGGCTTCCTGAGGGCTGGGCTAGCCAGCCTTGTTGAGAGCGGTCACCCACCCAGGGCAACGATGCTTCTGGGCAGCAACTGGTTTGTGCGCAGTGAGAACAGACCTGCTGAGGTCCTTCTGCACCCGGCTGCATGGATGGACCTTGCTGCAGCAGAGATTCTACTCCCAGAGCAGCCTGGAGCTGAAAGGATGCACGGGTGACCTGAAGCTACCCAGCTCCCAAATAGACTGCAAGAACTTTGGCCAGTGCGCTCGTTCGTTTGGTTTTGCAATCAAACAGTGGAAGTAAAATAATATTTAAAAATCATAACATCAACATTAGTAACTAAAATCAGTTTTCAATTATTGTGGTTCTTGAATTATTGCAACATTAAAGTGCTGTAGGATGAAATAACTGTGATCAAACCACGTGGGTGTAAATGACATGGCATTATCACTCTAAGGAGTGGGATCCTTACCCATGCACGCTTCTTACAAACTTTTCCATTTGCCTCATTGAAGCCCTGGCTTCAAATTGTTTCCTTTTGGGCTCTCCATAAGCTCCTATATCCACGTAGAGTTCTGCTTCATCCCCTTTGGGGTGGACCATACCAGGATTATTGGGCAATATGAAAGGACATAACCAAAGAGGGTACACCTGCAGAGGTAAGAAAACACTTTATCACTTATTTTTAACAAAACAATCCTTTAAGCTGATAAACTGAAGAGTTACGAGGACTTCTTCCCAATTTGGGATTGAAACTTGCATAGCTCTTCCTTTCCAGTTCTCTTGCTGTGGTTCTTAGCTGCACTTTCTAATGACCGTAACACAAACAGAATGAGATGCTCAGAATATATGCTGTGTCCTCCTAGAATTACATCTCCTCCCCCTTAAAATATTTGAAATGGGAAAAAAAAACCCAACCCTGATCCCACAGCAACAACTAAAAACACATTCTGAGTAAAAAGAGAACGAAGAGTTTTCTTTTCCAGGTCAGCCCAAAACTGAAATTGCCAAGTTTGTACTTCTTATACTAACTAAAATAAATTCAGAAATAAAAGCAACAAAGGGAAATAAATTCCCACAGTTTGGGTTCAGTGGGACCACCAGTGATTTCAGATGAGAGAAAAACCAGTTCAAGTTTTACTAAGTGACGAAATCTTTTAGAAATGTTTGCCTTCTACTAAAATGTGAATCTCATGTTTTTATTCTTTGTTCAGAAAGCTGCGCTGATTTCTTCTGCTGCCTTGCGACATGGCCTTGTAAAGCACAGTACTCTTCAGGATAAGATAACATCATAAGGCACAGTACTCCTCAGGATAAGATAACAACCTTTTACACAAGCAGATTATAATGCTTTAAGATCAACAGTCACAGTTGTTATTACACACAGTCCAAGATTCAGTACGTTTTAAAACCACATGTTCTTACATTAAGGTCAACATGGAAGGTTTGGATAGACTTCTCAAGGCTCTTCATTGGGACCAACATGTCCTGTACAACATGGTGTTGCTCGTACAGCTTCCGAATGGCTTCTCCTTGGGTGAGTTTTAACAGAGAGATTTTTGGAGGAACCATCCAGCCAAACAGGTAGCGGAAAATGGGGTTATTGCCAAAAGGAATTATATCCTTTAAAGAGGAAAGAAAAAAGTTTGACTTAAGAATGTGTAAGTGAACCAAAAGACCATACTTCAGAATCCTCAGAGCAATATTAAGACAGATTTTCACTAAATTTAACTGCTGATACTTCTGCTAAACTACTATAATGCAAATATGAACAAGAGAGGCCTGGACTGAGCTTAGCTCCACAGCCCTGCCCTAACCCTCCTCTAGTTACAGTGATTGATTTTCAGTCATATGAACCACAACATACTCAGCCCCAAATACTTTCAGAGAACGAAGTTCAGAGAACAATAGGCTATTATCTTAAAACTGCTAAGGAAGGAGCACCTAAGAAGCTAAACTTACAGAACTCTTGCAAGAACAAACACATACAAGATCAGGTCTTAAAAGAATTTTAAAGCTGTAAAATTTTAAGTACTTTCTGCACAGCCAACTCCTGCTTAACTTCTCAGGGAGCTGAAGGGATCCGGTATTTCAGAACGCCCAATAATGCACATCACAACAAATGCATTTACGGAATTCAAATTAATGACCTTTCTATATAATTAGTATTCTGAGTTTAGGCAGGGCAGATTTTCAGCCATAGTTTCACATTCATGTGTTTTTCCATTGTCTGCCTTTGGAAATCACTTATTAGCTATAAAAACTTAACACTGAAATATGTACTTAAGTTCTAAATTCAGAAGTGCACTAACATGGAAATTAGGAGGTTATGATATAATGCCTTATACATAAAGAAGTGCCTTTGGATTAGTTTTGCCCAAATGCAGGATTTTTAAATGGGCTATAAACTTCACTGTTTTTTTTTCTGCCATGAAAGATGGAAGTGTTGCCAAGAGGAAGAAGGTACAATGTACCTACACTGGGAAAGAGTACACTGGGTACCTTCCTACAGATGTTATTTTCATTTTGGAACTGGTCTTACTTGGAGCTCCCAGAAGATACTGCGTGTATGTCTATGGTAATAATGTCTTGCAGGAATGTATTCTACTCCAGTCCTGTCAGCTTTCAAATACTTCTCCACATGCTTAAAGAACCACGGCTTGTAGTAGTTGCCAATTCTGTTTATCTACAAGAAAACACGCATTCATTAGCAAACACCAACACAGATGGCAGTTACACCTTAGCAGACAACATTAAGTATGTCCCCAAACTCCTCAATACTGTGAAGAATCAATGTTATACCCTCTGTGACAACTTGAATGAGACTGTCACAAGAGATCTAGGGAGCCTTCATTTCTCCCCACACATGGTTGTTTCTTACATTTCTTGCCATTAAGATCTAATTTAAATAAGGTTACAAGCTAATTAAGAGACCATGAATGTGACAGAACCGGATTCCTAAAATACCAATCCCTCAACTCATCATTAATCCGAAGTCTCACTATGGCAGAGGAGAAACATCCAGGTTGAGGGCCGCAGTGAACAGTTAGCACATCCCTACTATAAATGTCTCTGATGTGTTTTACCAACATTAACTGTATTAAAAGCTTGCTGGAAGAAAGAGTTACTCTGAATAAGTGACTAAGTTACAGGCTGAGAGAGCTGGGGTTGTTCAGCCTGGAGAAGAGAAGGCCCTGGGGAGACCTTATTTCGGCCTTCGAGAACTTAAAAGGGACAATGCAACATGTTATAAGACGAGGACAAACTTTCTAGCAGGGCCCATTGCAATAATACAAGGGGCAATAGCTTTAAATTAAGAGAGGGTAGATTTAGACTAGATATGAGGAAGAAATTTTTTACACTGAGGGTGGTGAAACTCTGCCCCAGGTTGCCCAGAGAGGTGGTGGATGCCCTTCCCTGGAACTTTTAATTCCATGTTCCAATCTTCTAACGATTCTGGTTTTATACTGGCATATGGTACAGCTTCAGTTAAGCTTTGGGGATATTTTTTTTCTTTGTGAGTAACTTCCCTTTAGTTACCTTGCTTTGCTCTGCTTCATCAGTCAAGACTCCTGTCATGATGACTGCTTCTTCCAGAGAATACACAAGTCCTTCCACAAAACTATTCTCCTTTTTCTTCGATTCTTCTGTGAACTTTTCACAAATCTTCTGCAGTCCTCTCACAGGCTCGTAATGTATTTTGACATATTTCTTGGCAGGAATCATTTTTATTTCTGCTGCAACCAGGAAACCCAGAGTACCACAAGACCAAGGCACTGCATAAAATAGGTCTGAATTTTCAGTCTGCAAAAAGTATGTCATACTAAATCATAAATCCATACCGAATAACTGTCAACGACATTGTAAATGATAGCAAAATAACAATTTTGTCTTACTGGTGAACATCTCACAAGGCTTCCGTCGGCAAGAACAAGTTCATAGGCCACGCAGGTATGTTGAAAAAGCCCATAGATATGGGACGAAGACTCGATGCCAGTTCCCATGATCAGGCCACCTTAACAAGACAGCACATAACAAATCAAATGAAACACACTCCAGAATGAAGGTGGTTTACAAGAACAAAACCCTACTTTTAAGCTCTGGGCGTGGTTTTTAAGATTACTTAAAAAAAAGGGAAGTTCTTATAACTGAAATACCACAACAGAACATAAGGTTCAACAGAGTATTTCAGGAACCTTGAAAACAATGTAACATGTTACTGCATAAGAAGCTAATGAAAACACAGGGAAATCACAGAGTCTCTTCTCATGACAATGACCCTTACCTACTGTAAGATCATCGAGCTCTGGTACCACAGGAATAGTCCAGCCCATGGGATTCAGGTGTGCAGTCAACTGGCCCATGGTGACCAAAGGTTCCACACGAACAACCTGAAAAGCAAAAAACCAAACAATTTCCCCCCCAACAAAAATAAATTAAGCGTTCAGCATTAACGATGACAAAACATTGCTAACTAGACTGTACTTCCATCTGTTATCAGAACTCAGAGACTTACTTTCCTAAGAGCACTACTAAAAATAGTTGAAACTGTTTAGTGATTCCTCCTCTGCCTCAACATCTTGTTGCTCAGTCCCCAAAACCATAAATCAATCTGGTCTTTTAGACTTCAGCACATAAAAGCTAAGCAATTCCATATGCTGTTTTTTTTCGGATAGAATGATCCAAGCACACACTGTGAAACCTGAAATTTGGTGGGTCTACTGCTACAAAAATCCTGTATTCGTTATGGAATCTAATCTCCTCTTCAGCTACACAAAGAGTAAAAAAAGCCATAGACTTCATTATTATGAAAGCTTTGTGATGAATTTGTTACCTGTCTTTCACTGTCCACTTCCAGAACATCCATTAAGTTGATCATGATGTTCTTATGAATCTTCTTATACTTCCCAACACGAAGTGACACAGTCAACCAGCCAGGCCGGCCGGTGCACATGTATCTTTTGCTGCCTTCGTTTTTCCATTCCCGAACCTGCAAGAGGTAACAACAGAACTGACACCGTAAGGCATACACAGGTAGTCAATAATGAATACCAGAAACGTTCTTCCCCCATGGTGAAAAAACCGTTCAGAAATATTGTTACTCCTCTACACGCATGTTACCTGGCAGTAATAACGTCTGTGTGTCTCTATGTGAGCAGTGATGCTTTGGAAGTCTCTCTGCAGACCTCTCAACTTTTAAATAAAATACCACCATCTAGATATGTAGAGGAAGTGTTTCTAATACCCTGCAGCTTTGGGGTTTTTTTTGGAGACAGGATTCAGAAAACTAGCAAGAAAGTAACAGAGTTTTAAAAATCCACAGGAAAACCTGCTCTCTAAGGGAGGTATTATCGCTGTCATAATCTTAGTTCTCTGTAAAGGTTAATGAAGCAATGGCTCTCCCAAAACACACACACAAAAATGGTCTGAGCCTGCAAATGAACAGGCAAAGAGAGAAAAGCTGAGAAGGAAAATGTGTAAGCCATCCACATGATCCACGAATTTTGCAAAGCCACAATGGTTAACATTTGGAGAACAAACATCAATTACAGCCTTGTCTTCAAAGCTCGACTGCTACTACAGCTGGTGATAAAAAACCCAACCCCAACCCCTCAAAGAACAACTCCATGCATGTTAATATCCATCTCTATCTGCAACGAACATGAGAGACAAGGAGGATAACAGAAGCAGACGTGACTGAATTATCATAAATATTAGAGAGCACAGAAACATCGCAGAAATCTGCATTTCTGTGCGGAAGAAAAGTTTCAGCTCCCTGTCACTCATCTCTTGGAACTAGCAATGCCGAGAAGCCGGATGGAAGTGGTAGGAAAAGAGGGTATCAAGCCAGCCATGCCAAGACCAACATTTCCATGTTGGGCACGCACACACGGGTAGATGCCCAGGGGGTGGGATGGCAGGGAGCGATGCTCTGCATCCCCAGGGATGTCAGTCTCACCGGCACCAGCCGGGCGGCCCCACCGCCACTCGCCAGCGGTTGACGCCGCAACTTTCAGCGGAGTTCCAGACGGGATAAAAAAACCCCCAACAATCCCACACGGGGCAGAAACACCCGCTGACATTTATTTGTTTGCTTTTTTTTGCCGCAACCGGATTTACGGCTGGATTTTGCCCCAGCTCCAGGAGAGGCCGAGGCGGGGAGGAAGGGGAAAGGGGAAGGGGCGG